AAAAAAACAAAACAAAGCGAAAAACAACAACAACATCTTCACTGTTACAAGTTTCGCAATTTCAAAACACGTCCTTAGAAGGAAACTGGGAGGTATAAAGGTTTACCAAAATTGTAGAAAAACAACAACAACAAAAAAAAACATCAGATTGTAACCATACTTCAGCAGTGGGAAAAAAAAGTAAATGTATCAGTCAAAAACCTCAGTGTATAACAGAAATTATGAAACAAAGTTTCAATGTCGTGTATTTGGCCCTATGTTTTTTTTTAGATGCTGGGTTGAATTAGTCTCCTCATAAACTTAACATCTTATTTACATAACCTTGAGTCTTTTTTTTTCCACAACAGATGGCACAATTAAATGGAAAGCACAGCCGCCATGGGAATGCGTGCCTTTGAATGTAGATGGAATAAAACAAGTGGCAGTGATGGAGCGTTCGGATATGACGCAAAGATTACTGAGTTCGTTTGATTGAAGGCTCTCTTCTCTGCTGGGATGGCATCACATGCCCCGAGCCATTTTTAAACCATTTAAATGCATAGAAAAGCATCAAGATTTGCTGCTATTCTTTGGACCACATATGGTTCAGAAAACCTAGCAAGCGACGGCAAAATCTTCCTCATAAAATTAACAGCGTGTTAGTCAATAGGCTCATTAAAACATGTTTTTTTCCCCGTTTGCTTTTAAGTCTTTTATGCATCTCTTTAGGACTGCTTGTTTTGAAGGTGCTGTACTGATTCCAGAATGCCTTGAAACAACAAAAAGATAATTTTCTCCATTTTGTCTCTCATTTACACCTTTCATTCTTACTGTCACTTTCTGTATACTTCCAGGCCCAGACCATGGGGATGATGACAGAGTATTACCACTATATCTTCACCACTCTGGTAATGTACCATGCTTGTTAATGCAAATAGTGTCGTTTGTTCTCATCTCCTCACCGCTTGAGTTTTTGATGAATAGTGGCTAATTGCCAATGGAGTTTGGATCCAGTCCATTACATCAATTTTGTTTGACAAGCCGGAGGCATAATGGAGTCTCGGGTTTGCTGTGGTAAATGCTGCTTTATAGTAACGTCAACAGAAGTCTTTGCGATGGCATCACAGAAAGCAAAGGCGAAGAGTCGCAACTTATTCTGACATTCAGGCCTATAAATAGATTCAATTTAGAATTTTGACCTAAGAAAAAATTTAAAAATAAGTACAGTTTAATTTTTTTTAATTGATCAGATGTGTAAAAAAATGTTCCAATCTTTTGAAGGGGACTGTGTAGATATCTTTATGTCTTTTGGGTCCTATTTTTTAACCCATTCAGTTTTCTCTATTTTCTATTACGTTTTCTATACTTTTTTGCCACATTATTTGTGATAGAATTGCCAAATCAAGGCCTGGACTTACCAACGCCAATTTTGTCATCTTCATTTTCCTCTGGCTCTGGGTCAGACTCTGGATCCAACATGTAAAGGCTGGATGGACAAGTCTTTCATTTTTTATATTTACATTCAGATTCAGATTTGCTTCATTGTCATTCAAACGTAACATCAGAGATGCAATGAAGAGCAAAATGCAGTTAAGATCACCTGTTTCAAGAAAAACACACCTGACAAAACATGGGGGAACAGAACAGGTCTTGTGCAATAGGGTTGCAGCTTGGGAAAACACAATAGGAAAAGTAAAAAAAAAAAGTTTCTCTGATCCTATGTATACATCAGAAACACCCAATAAAATGATGTGCACAAAAAACAAAAAATAAAAAATACTACTCGCGACAGAGCTGACAGCTGGGGACAGGGGGCCTTGGGTCAAACACATGAGATTGGGGCTGGATTCAGTGGAGCCAGTAACAACTGGCTTAAATGTGAAAAAGAAGGATTAATAACAATGATGTCTCACTGAACAGATTATGGATATCTATTTTAAAAATTTTCATTCCAGACTTCACTGATTTGATCAAATCAGCATGTGATCAATAACTGTCTTTCAAGAAAAGCAAAATGTGTACATCTATTTAAGCTGTACAGTAAACAAACAAGCAATCAAAAAAGCTTATTAAAGCTTTAATTCCTATAGACCTTATCTTTAGATGATTTTGGTTGAATAATCAAAAAGACTAAATATGTAAAAATAACTTTCGTAGAAGCTGCCTTTTGGTCACGATTTTTGTCAGTCATTCTGCAGTAACTTAGATAAATATGAATGCAGTGCCTTGTGAACACACACAGATGTCATGTTTGTAACAAGTAAATGATTTAAACACCACTGTTTACTTTGAGTCAATCCCACTTACAGTTTAGCTTGGAGGAAATATTTGCTAAAGCAATGACTATGGAGAAATACAATTAAAAAACAAACAGAAAACATTAGCTGGTGTTTGACTGGCACTGATCTCAGCATTGCAGGTGAAAAACAACAAAATGGAAACTTTCATTTTTTTAATGTCACAACACATTCAAAATGATTTCAGCTTAGAGTAAAATCTTACTTTAAGTAATCAAACATGCTTAAAGCAGCTGATTCGGTAACAACTTACTTTTTGAGTATTTTAAGCTCAATACTTGTGACCTAGTAGGGAGCCCCTAGTAGGGAGCCCCTTCTGCCATAACCCTGGCTGTAATGACAAGCAGACTGAAGGGGAATAAATACCAGCATGTTCTGTGCTGTTCCTTTCACCCTCTGTTACTGTCTATGCCTCTTGTGTACTCACACTCGCCGTCTCTGCAGACTTGGCCAGTCTGTTGTGATAATGCGTTCCGACATGGAGGTCCAGATATGATGTGTGTCATTTTTCACCCTTGAGAGCATAGCACTGACATTGTTTTGCCATGTGTCATGTTTTATGCAGCATGTCTTTTCTTTAAATGTGAAAATCTATGTCTTTACATAGCTGTAGCTCCAGTTTTCTGCGTTTAACTGCTTCCTAACTGTTTGTTCAGCGAGATCTTGATGAGAGAATTAACTTAAAAACTTTCATTTCATCTTTTTGTAAAACCTGAAACAATAATACATTTCACATGAAGCTTGGATATCTTTATAGAATCAGTGTTGTATCTATCTAAAGCTGCAATATGCTGTCTTATTGATAGACATACCATTAAGGAGATTATACCTGGCGGCTTTATTTGATCCAAAGTAATGAATACTTGCGTGGTGTACATGGCAATACAATTTCCTCTCGATGGAATTCACTGATGTCTGTGTTTTATCTTCTGAGGTGAGGGAAGTGCCGACTTATTAGAGCGTGAAAAGGCAACGACACAGTGGTATGGGGGTAATAACTTCCATGTCCTTTGAAATGAGTCTGTCATAGCTCCCGTCTTGCAGTAGCTATCTTTGAGACCCTTAAACTGAGAACTTAGTTATGTTTGCCCCATCCATAACGCTTCTACGGGCCGTCAGAGATGTGCACCATGCTTTTTTTTTTCCTGGTGAACATTTGAGTGGAATAAAATTCTAGGATCATATTGAGTTTGATACATGTATGTGTGTGTGTGCAAGTCAGCACTGTTAAAAGTGAATTAGAACTGTTCTAGTTTTCTAACTTTTAAGTCAAACAAAAGTAAAAAATATATATATATATATACAAATAAGCAGGAGCAAAGACTTTTTTGCAGGGGTAAGCCAAGATGCTTTTCTAGCAGGGCACATACAACTAAAGAAAAGCACTCTGGATTTTAAAATTCAATATGGCTGCCACAGCTAATTACAATAGCATTAATTCAAGAAATTTTGAGTTGAAATTATGTGTGATCATTGCTACGAATAACCAAAAAACATGCTGAATTCTAGTCACAGCTTATTATAGCTATTTTCAGACAAACAAAGTTGAAGATTAGTGTAGAAGTAGCTGAAAACAATATGAACTAGAAGCACTCGGAGAGTGCAAACCTCCGCCAAGACCAATTTCCCCCATCCTGTAAGAGAGTTGCAAAGGGGCACACCGATACTACAGTGCCACCTGCTGGACACTTTGAAATCCAYGCCCTGTGAAAGCATCACAGCTTTGCCGATCTCAGAGTGTTAAAAGAAAAAAAAATCCTGCATCCGCATCCTGATCCGGAACATCACCAAGATTTAAAGGTGTGTTACTTGAGCCAGTACCCACATTTGGTAAAAATTTCATGACAATCCGTCCACAAGTTTTTGAGTAATGTCCACAGACAGAATGACAGAATGATAGAACGACAGACCGACAGAAAGACGGACAGACATATGCGACCGAAAACATTACCTCGCCCTTGGCAGAGGTAATGATAATCATAACTTCAAAACAGCCACCACAGCTAACATTAAAATGCTATAATGCCGCTATTTTTAGACATAAGATTAAATTTGTTGTGGAGCATCTAATAATGATAAGGATTTGATTGCCGATGCTAATCCCAAATGAAGCTAACCCCTGATGCTAATGATAATTTTACAAAAAAGGGCTATAATTCAGAGACTTTTAAACATATACAGCTGAAAATATGTACAGTACAGTAGTATTAGAAAACAATATTTAACAAAATCTAAATGCAAATACAAAATTCAAGATCCACTTGTCAATTATTTGGGGCTGACACTTGGGTGGCCAATCAGGTGCCAGCCACCCCTCTTGCTCCACCCTTGCAAATATATAATATAATATAAGTGATTTACTTTGATGCTTTAATATGAAAGGAGGAACTGCCGCATCACAAAAGAAAGATTTTTTTTTTTGTCAGTGAATATCAATGTCCTTTCTTCAGTGAATGTCTTATATGCTCTTGTTCCCCCAGCACCAACCCTACAGGGTGCTAATGAAATATCTATGTTCATCCAAATGTCTTTTCCAAGCCCCCGGGTCCAATTTTACACGACATGTGTCAACATGTGACTTCACACTTCAGCTACAATCTGTGCCCTAGAAATTACAGTGGCTCAAATTGAAATGCTTTTTACTTGGACAGTGCCAAGGCAATGCAAACGTTGAATTATTAATTTGATCTGACAAAACAAGTTTGTTTTTCTCTTGTTTGTTTTTTTAATATGATTTCCTGAGCTACAGGCAATAATTATAATGTCACCCAAAAACAGATGCATCCAGAGAGTTTTCTGGTTTTATGAACGTGATTGAGGAAGGTAAAAGAGATCACAAGATTTTTGCTTAAGCATGATTTTTTTAAGTGTGTGCACATAAAACAACAATTAGCCCAATTTTAGAAAGTTGTTTACCGTCACCAATTCTATTCGGATTTTAGAAAAATACTGCACATCTTTAAAAAAATGTATCTATTTGTTCCTAATAAATTTATTTATTTATCTTGTTTATTTTGTTTAATCAGCTGATGTCCTGTTCTATTTTTTATTGGAGAGAAACAAACTAGAATATTTGAGTTAAAGCCGTTTAGTGATTTAAAAGTCAATCTAGCTCACATTTCCTTTTTCTTGTTAAAGGACCTGATGGCCATTGACCTTGAGCCATATCGCTTTTGTGGTGTTAATATGACCGGCTTTCGCATCCTGAATGTGGATAATCCTCAGGTTGCATCAATTGTAGAAAAATGGTCAATGGAAAGGCAGATCCCACCAAAACCCGATTCAGGCCTTCTGGAGGGCATCATGACGGTATTTTATTTAAAATTGTTTCATTGTCTATTTACACAGTAGAGTTTTATATGTTCTATTATTTATTATCTCCATGTATTAGTTGCTGGAACTTAAGCATAAACTTTGTAGCATAAACTTAAATTAAGAATATTTTATCTGTGTTAAATATTAGCATAACAAATGTGCAATATGGTGACCCAGTTCTTTACTTTGTTCTACAGCCGACAGCTGAAATATTGTCCCCCCCTTATTCCAGACAGATGCAGCTCTGACCTACGATGCAGTCCACATTGTGTCTGTCTCATACCAGCACGCTCCACAGATGACTGTGAACTCACTCCAGTGCCACCGTCACAAACCCTGGAGATTTGGAGGACGCTTCATGAGTTTCATCAAAGAGGTGAGGGGGCACCTTTGGCCTCTTGTTGTTTGATTGAACTGACTGAGTGGWAAATGAGAGAGCCGAGGTGCGGCTGAGGGTAAGACAGTCAATTTATATTTAAATATTTACTTAACAAATCAATCACACTCACGTGGCAAGTGAACCTCGACTTGGTACACACATCAAAGCAGCTTTTTGTCAGCCTTTCAAATTCCCTGTATTCATAACCTATTTTCCAAAAAGCAGGTACTGTAACCTTGTGGAAGCAGAACCTCTGTAATCATTTTTCATTTCATCTAACGTGAGCCTGTGACGGTGTTTGAAAAGGATTTTAAACAACCCTTGCAAAATAGCAGATTAAGAATGCTGCTACTATTTGTCTCGATATTTTATCAACCCAGTCATTTGTGCTTCTGTTAGGTTTTGTTCAGATGATAAAAATGGCAGGAATTCCATTTCTTTCTTCTTCAAATGAAATCATTAATGTTTTAAAACTGATCAGTTTGATGGGAGTTTCGGTGTCCAATCAGGATTCCTAATTGTTGGGTGTGAAAAAAGTTGTTGCTATTTTTGGTAAACAATTACCTGCATTTTGTGCTGGAACTTCATACGTGACCATCACCTGCTGCTTTTTTATACGAGTCAGTGCAAAACATCCTGTTACTATTTAAAACAAGTTTTAAAAATGCTTTTTTCTGGAAGAATTCTCACTCAAATTTTGCTGGGATGTGTTTCTGTAGATATTTTGATTTCTACACACCCATCCATTAACATGGCAACAAAGCAGTGCTAATCTCTTATTGTTACCTCCGCCAAGGGGAGGAGGTAGTGTTTTCGGTCGCGTCTGTCTGTCTGTCTGTCTGTCTGTCTGTCTGTCTGTCTGTGGACAAATTTACTCAAAAACTTATGGACGGATTTTCACCACAAGTGGGTATTGGCCAAAGGAACACAGCATTAAATTTTGGTGATGATCTGGATCACGATCCGGACCCAGGAACAGCCAATCAGCTTCAAGGAAGCCCAGGAACAGCCAGTCAGCTTCAAGGAAGCTGATGGTTGACTTCCAATCACATCGGATCATTCATAGACGGGTCAACCCCCGGCTATAGACATCCAATTGCATTGCCTGAAGTGGTATGGAAGACCAATCACACGAAGGCACATGAAATAAAACTTTACAAAAATTGTTCTTACATCGAAAAACTTACTGTTTGTAGTTAGTTTAATGTAACAACAGACCATTTTCATAGTACATCAGCCTGCACATCCTAACATTTTTGTATTTTGTGTTTACATTGTTGGAGTCTTTTCC